TCTTTTAAACCCTGTTATAGTCCTAGCCTCACAACCTCCTCAGGGAAGGAATTCCACAGATTGACTATGCGCTGTGTGAAGAAAAACTTCCTTTTATTTGTTTTAAACCTGCTGCCCATTAGTTTCATTTGGTGCCCTCTAGTTCTTATATTATGGGAACAAGTAAATAACTTTTCCTTATTCAAGGATCAATGTCTTATACAGGGCCATGCGGATCAGACTGATAGGACAAGTCTGGGCATTAAAATAAGCTGACCAATTACTACACTCAGAAAGCCGGGAGATAAGGGACACAGAGGGCTTGTTCACACAAAGTGATCTGGCAAAGTGATCTAGAGGGGTGTGATTTGTAAAATGCTCTGACATGCTGCACCCTAATTGCCCTTTGTAGACCCTGCTGGCAAAGGACCTTTGTGTTAATGTCATCCTCCCTCCTTTTTGGGATTTGGAGAAACGGTTGCCTATTCCTCCATGGTTAACATCCCTTTAGGGACACAACCTCACCTGACTGCCAGGCTGTCTTATTTGACACAACTGCTCTTCCTGACCCTTGTTTCCAGTCAAAGAGCCACACAGTGTCATTTTCATGAAGCAATGGTAGCTCCCTGGACTCCAAATCTTACTGATTTTTTTAATGGATCTCTGTCTACAGCTGCAAATCCTCAGTGATTCCGACATGAGGCATTTTTGTGTGTGAGCATTTTTGGTTTTAGTTTCCAGTTTTCCATTGAACAAAACGTCAGCGGGTGACAACCCAGGAGTCACTGGTGACATTCTGTAATTTATCAGCACTGAATACAAACCACATTCTCACTCCACAGACTTTTTTATTAGTTCCGTTATTATTTTGATACCATTTTCCACCAGCCTGTTGGACAGGGGATAATAGGGACTGGCAGTGATATGTCTAACCCATTCCTCACTATAAATCGCTTAAACTCATGCCCACTAAACTGTGGCCCGTTGTCTGACATTACATGCCCCTTGTCTGACATGGTGACATACCATGTCTAGCAAAACTAGATTTGGTATGCAGATCATTTATTTACTTGTCGTATCTTCCAGTGAGGCTGAAGTTACAATTATCTAGGAGAAATCCATAGTTTTTTTTCTTGACAGTGTAAACAAATCTATGCCTGCTTTGCTCCAAGGCCCTTTTGTCAACTGCTCTAGAAGGTGTGTCTGCAACCACCAAATCTCTCTCAGATTGTTTTCTATTCACAGATCATATATGTGTAGATGCAAAAATATTCTCTTTCCTGGAGGGGCAGGGAAGCTTCCCACAGAGTACAGAATAGGGCTGAAAGAGCGCCACAATTCATGTCTCTAGAAAAGGTCTGCTGGCCTAAGCCATTGATTAACACATGAGTTGGGTAGGTTTATTGCTTTCGGAATCCCAGTGTGAGCGTAGCCCAATTAACATAGTAAACCAGGGGCGGGGAACCTTTTTGGAGCCTTGGGCCACTGACCCACAGAAAAATTAGTCGGAGGCCACACACAAGTGAGAAGCAACCCCCCCAAACAAAAACAAAACCAACCCCAAACAAACAAACAAAAACAAAAAACGAAACCCCTCATTGATGTGGCCCCTGACTGAAAAGAAGAAAGACACATCCCATGTTCCCCTGGGGGCCCTAGTAGATTTTGTGTGCTCCAGCTGCATGATGGAGAGGCAGGGGGTAGGGTGGGGGTGGAGATGGG